GAAAAAAGAAGGGGCACCCCAACACAAGGGGATACTGCATCCTCCCAGGACTGCCTATGTTTCAAGTGTTATTTAAGGAAAACACAGAAAAGTTATCTTATTCCTTTGCTATCCCTGGATATTGGCTCACTAATATGTCTGAAGATATGTTTCCTCTAAGAGCATTCCCAAGAAACTCTATTCCTGCTGTCTATTCACATTACCCAATGCCAGAAAGATCTAAAATCATCTTTTTAGTCATGCACCCCTTAAAATTTAGGGGAAAAGGGAATAATTAGCAATCTCTGCCATATATGTTAAAAAAGCATTGTTTCAAAGTAACGGTTTGTTCACAGATACGTCCATATAACAAAAGATCTTATGGCTTTATTATATGCCTGGATCCACTCTCCATTTCTTTTTAAGTCATATATTATCAAGGTTATGTATATATGTATGTAGTATGTGTATGATACATTGAAATATTCAAAATATGTGAAATGTCATGAATATTACATGATTCTACAGTAAATTCTGGCCATCTGCAAGTGCTGATGCAAATTTTTGCTCACGAAGTCCACTGGCTTTCCCCTTTGGCAGAAAGGCTTGCAAAAGCCCCCAGGATTTGTCTTACTTACACCCTCACTCCCCAAAAGATCTCAGACTTAAAGATTTATGTTGTCAAAAATGTGCACTTACAGAAATGGCTTCATAGAAATAAAATTTCTCTGAGGTTCTGAGTGAGATGTGTATTCAGTACATGAGTCATGAACAACTTTGGTCCAGAACTTTAGTTTTTCAGAGTTCTTGGTATATTCTTATAAAGTTTAGCTGTTTACTATTTACTACAGAAAAACCAACTAATGCATATTTATTGGAATGATGCTTGGATATTAGTTGAATTGAGATGGACTCTCTGATCTTTGGCAGGGTGTTTCTTAGGATAAACACATGGAAATCCTCCTGTGTGTATACATGTCTCTTCAATCTACTTGGACCACGAATGCTGCACCAACCCAAAAGTGTCTGCGAAGCTCACCTCTTCATTTGCAGCTGCTGAGCAGTCTGTGTTTAGTACACGTTTATGCCTTGTGGATCCCTGTTTGCTGGAACTCATTCTTCACACCCTGGATTTTTAGTCTACCCCAGATCTTATCTGAGAGAAGGGAAGTGAATGTGTCTGTGTATTGGCAGGTATCTGTTCTAAGTGGGAGGGAGTCCTGAGGTTTATCACACTAGCCATGAGGAAATAGAAATAAACCATCTGAAGAGATTGACAGAAACAAGGTCACAGAGACTCCAGCCCTCAGCAGCCAATGCTTTAATCTTTTGTCTCGATATTCCCAAGTTCAAGCTGCTTACAGAGACTTCATTGGGTCAGTACCTGGTCCAGGGACACCATGTCTTTTTATTCCTAGAGGCAGGCTAGTTGAGGCTACAGGGAGTGAGAAGATGGGGTGCAACTTTGATTTCTGCTTTAGAGGTCAGCACCAAGTACACAAAGTGTCTTTTATCTCCGTTCTTAGGATCTAATATCTATCAAGGGAGTTAGCATATACTAGGCAGTGAGAAACGGGGAGTAATCTGCACAGTGCAGACTCCAGAGGGATCCAAATAAGGGACAGATTAGTTTAGACTCATTTCGAATGGGCTTTTTAGATTATGTTATAAGTGAAGTGCCAAAGGGTAAAAGAATTCAGAAAAGAGACTGTGAACAGAGATTCCGAGTACCATAAAGGTCAGTGGACCTGTGTCAATGTAGTAAAATAGAATAGGAAAGTGACTAACCTCAGGACCCAGGTAGGCGTTAGACCACAGGAATCCATGTGTGTTCCTGTGTGTGAGTATATGTATGTGGATGTGCACACACAGGATGTGCATGCAGAAGCTGGAGGGCAGCTCTACGCTCTCCCACCATGTTTGAGACAAGGTCTGTCCTTGCCTTGGAACTTCACCAAGTCAGCCAGGGCAGCTCTTCTGTGAACTCCTCCGTCTCTGGGATTGCAGGCGTGCATGACTGTGGCTGGAGGTCTGTGTATGATCTAGGGATCCACGGAGAGGTCCTTATGCTGGTGAGGAAAGTGCTTTACCAACTGATCTGCCAGTGCAGAGTACTTATTATGAAAATAAAGTCAATGATAGCTTTGTTACCGTTCTATGGAGTGAAGTCAGAATAAAATAGCAAGTGATGAATAATGTATCTATATATTCATATTATAATAACAGTATAATTCATCTAGACTGGGCATAGGTTTCCATGTATGGGATGAAGCCAAAGTTAGGTAGGTCATGGCCTGGGAGCCTAGCCTCACTAGGCCTGGCGGAAGCCCAAACCTCAGTGCCCAAGAGAATGTGACAATTCTAGAATTCACTCTGAGACTGGTTTCTGAGGAGGTTCAACTTATCAGGAGGTGGGCCCAATAGGCTGTAGGTTGTAGGTGGAGAGTTTTTCTCTCCGGGTCCTGCCAAGCCCTGGCAGTCCGACAGCCCACTTATAAAATAAACACACAGACACATATTATTTAAACTGTTTGGCCTAATGGCTCAGGCTTCTAGCTATCTAGTTCTTACATCTTAAATTAACCCATTTCTATAAATCTATACCTTGCCACGTGGCTCGTGGCTTACCAGCATCTTCACATGCTGCTTGTCATGGTGGCAGCTGGCAGTGTCTCCCTCCACCTTCCTGTTCTCTCTTTTGTCCTCTCTGTTAGTCCCGCCTATACTTCCTGCCTGGCCACTGGCCAATCAGTGTTTTATTTACTGACCAATCAGAGCAACACATTTGACATACAGACCATCCCACAGCAGTAGGTAGCAGGAGACACAGAGTCAGAAGTGGTGACATCACTGTAGCGAGCTACCTTATCACAGCTGAATCCCACCCATAGTTCAGGTCATAGAACAGAATCTAGGGAAGACTGTCAGGACCCCAGCCACATTGTTAGAAAGAGGAAAGTTAGTGAGGGCGGAAGCCGCTTTTGACCACCGGGTCCACATATCTAACGGTGGAAGGAAAACAGGAATGGCGAAGCAGTGCACACTCAGAACAATTCCATAACTCCGTGGCCAGACAGTAAGTTCCACTGCATGTCGTGATCTGGGATTGCTTCTCGCTGGTCAAGGCTTGGAGGTTTGTGGAAGCACTGGGCCTCTTAAGTGAACACTCCAGGGACTCAGCTATGGTCACGGTGGGGCAGGGCCACTTGCAGGAGTGAGGATGACAGCAGAGGTCACCTGGCTAAGCCAGGAGGTTGTCTCAAGCCTGACCGAGAAGGAAAGTGTTGTAAGCTGGAGGGGAAAGGGGGCCTGAAACAGAAGTCACTTCAGTTAAGAAGTGAGTAGGTTTTGGTGGTAAGTTTGATAAAACAGACAAAATGACAGAACCCAAAATGATTCCAGGTGGATTTCTGAATTCTCAAGTCACATGGAACTTTTATTCTTGAGCTGAAGAGCCAGCAAGCACATGCTTGATACATGAATCATGGAGAATTCTGATCCAGAACTCTGTTCTTCAGAATTCTTAGTTTTGATAGAGTTTAGATGTTTTCTTAAACATAAGATCTCTGGTCTATGTAAAAAGATCAAATAAGGTAAATTAGTAAATAAAATCTTGTTAAAGCTAAGCTTACTTGTGGCTTCTTGGACTCTTACCTCAGAGGGACATTTCAGAGAACATGGGGATACCTAGAAATGTTGCTGTAAAGACTTATCTTTTTTTTTTTTTTTTTTTTTTTTTTTTTTTTTTTAGCATTCGACTTTCCAGTGTTTCTGGGACTTATGTGTGTGGGAACATGTGTATCTCTGAGTCCATATGTGAGTTTCCCATTTTTCTGGGATTTATGTGTGCGGGAACATGTGCATATCTGAGTCTACATGTGTTTTTTTGTGCCTTTTCTTTGGTTCTTTTTTCCTGTTTGTTTGTTTGCTTTGCCCTATTCCAGTTTTTTTTTTATTCTTTTTCATTTTGCATTTTGAATATCTGTTTGTTTTCTAAGAAGAGAGAGAAAAAAAGGTGTCGATTTGGGTGGGAGGGGAGGTGTGTGCAGGATCTGGGAGGAATTGGGGGAGAGAAGACTATAATCAGAATATATTGTAGGAAAAAAATCTGCTTTCAATAAAAGAAAGAGAGGAAAAAGTATCTGTCTTTCCTAGTCCAGGACGCTGCTTTTGGTGTGTGTGTGTGTGTGTGTGTGTGTGTGTGTGTGT